CCGTCCACCCACCCGCCCGTTCTGCATGCCCCCATCTGTCCATCCACGCATCCGTCCGTTCTTCCTTCCTTCCGTGTGGTGAATGCACCGAAGGCCAAGGAATTGCACCCTGCAGAGTGATTAACAGCTGGTTTTGCTTTGTGGATTTTATCTCAGTTTTTTTTTAATTTTTTTTGAGTCGGAGTCTCCCTCTGTCGCCCAGACTGGAGTGCAGGGGCCGCTCCCGGCCCCCGTGGCCTCGCCCTGCTGGGCTCTGGCGATCCTTCCGCTGCCGCCGTCCGAGTAGCCGGAACTACAGGCACGCGCTACCACGCCCGGCTGATTTTTTGATGTATGGTCGAGATGAGGTCTCGCCAAGTTGCCCAGGCGGGTCTCGAACCCGCGGCCTCGGGCAATTCACTCACCTCGGCTTCCCAAGGTGCGGGATGATAGGCTGAGCCACCGAGCCCAGCCTTATCTGTTTTTTAATTAAATAATACACCCACGCCCTGACCCTGCGACTGTTGGACGGATGGACGGACGGACGGGTGGGTGGGTGCGTAGGTGGGTGGGCAGGTGGGTGGAAGGATGGAGAGGGGGTGGGTAAACAGGTGATGGGTGAGTGGATAGACGGATGGTTGGAGGACGGATGAAGAGACAATGGGTGGGTGAATGATTGACAGAAGAAGGATGGACAGACAAACGGATCCACCCACCCATCCGTCCAACAGGAGGTGCGGCAGCTCAGTCTTCCCCTGCTCAAATGCCCCTGCAGTCCCCCAGCGGGCTCAGGATGAAGCCCGACCCCCGTCGCAGCCCCGGTCCCACGGCCTCTGCCTCCTGGTGACATTCTGGCGTCTACTCCTTGCTTGCCCCGTCCCAGGCGGGTGGAGCCCAAGGAGAAGGGCGGAGCCCGGCCCAACCTGCGCGGCGACTTGGGCACACATCTGTAGTCCCGGGCTTCTGTGTCTGTGGGGCAAAGTCCTAAAATACAGTCGCAGGGTCAGGGCGTGGGTATGTGTATTATTTAATTAAAAAACTGAGGTCAAATCCACAAAGCCAAATGAGCTGTTAGTCACCTTGCAGGGTGCACTTCATTGGCGTTCAGTGCATTCACAACGCTGTGCGACTGCCACGTCTGTTAGTTCCAGGACGTTCCACCACCCCAAAGGGAGCCCCATCCCCATCAGCCGTCACTCCCCGTCACGCCCCCCGCCCCAGCCCAGCATTCACGAATCCACATCGCGTCCCTGTGGGTTTGCTGTTCTGGACACGGCGTGGAGTTGCTGTGGCCTTGCCTCCTCCCACCAGCAGGGCCAGCGTCAGAGGGGCACTGTGGCCGTCCCTGCCTGGCCGGCACCCCCCACCCTTCACACTGTCTAAGCAGGCCCAGAGCTTGGGGGCATTTCTCCCCCCTGGTCCCCCAGTGTCGCCTCTTTTGAGCCCGGGCGCTGCCTTTCCATGGACGTGGCTGTCTCGGCCCGGGCTGGCAGACTTCCGGCAAGGGGCAAGGTCTCAAGGTCTCGGTCTTGGAGGCTGGGACGGCCTCTGTCCCAACGGCTGCCAGACCTTGAGCCAGGTGCTGGAGATACAGAAGCGTACAAGATCACACAGCCCTGCCGTCCTTGGCTTGGTGTTAGGGGAACGGGGCTGAGTGGTTACCTGAATGGACACGGAGCCGTCTCTGAGAATCAGAACAGCCGAGAATCGATTTCCCCAGAGCCAGAGGCAGCTCTGAGGGGCAACGCTGAAGCTGGGCCTTGAGGTGGGGAAGGGGCCAGTCCTGCAGGCGGGTGGGGGAGGGGAGCGGGGGCAGCAGGTGCCGAGGCCCTGAGGCAGCCAGGCCAGGCTGGTCAGGGACAGAGCAGAGGGCTCAGCCCGGGACAGGGCGGGCGATGCGAGGCTCCTGGGAGCAGAGCCCTGGAATTGGTCCCCTGCCGGCCGGGCCCTCGGGGCCTGCCTGCTGACCCTGGCTCTCTCTCCTCCCAGTACATGGGCTGCATCGAGGTCCTCCGCTCCATGCGCTCCCTGGACTTCAACACGCGCACGCAGGTGACCAGGTGAGCGCCGAGACCTGCCCGTGTCAGCTCAGCTCCCTCCCCGTCCCGGCTGGAAGAGAGGCCAGAATGGCTGGGGGGGCTCTTCCCTCGGCCGGGGGCCATTCTCTTGGCGGCCCCGTCCCCCAGGGGACCTCAGAGTGGGCGTGGCTCCCCAGTGCTGCCGATGGGATCCCGACCCAGGGCTGGGGTCTGGCTCAGGCGCTCCCGTGGGTGGGCCCCAGCTCCGGGAGTCCACGCCGCCTTCCAGGTGGGTGGTGCAGGGGCGTGTGGGTCCCTGAAAGAGGAAGACGGTACGGGGGGCTGGAGCCGGGGTGGAACGTCTGCCAGGTGCAGGGGGCGCTGGTGCCCCAGGCTGCCCCGGTCCGGCTGGACTCCCCGCCCCCCAGGCATCCCCCTCCCATCACAGACACTCCTGCACCCTGGCCCCCTCCCTCTCCGCCCCCTCTTCTCTCTGACCCCACCCTTATTTGAGTTCCTGCCGCCTCCCTGCACCCCCCAGCCCGCTCACCGCACACTCTGAGCCCCCTCCTCCCACAGGGAAGCCATCAACCGGCTCCACGAGGCCGTGCCTGGTGTCCGGGGCTCCTGGAAGAAGAAGGTGAGTGGAGACCCACGAGGGGCTGGCGGGGCCTGGGAGGCCGTGGGGGCCGGCGGTCCTGCGGGCCCACGTGGGGCTCTGGGAGCCGGGGGAGGCCGGGGGCCCTGGGCGCCACTCCATGGCGGGCGTGCTGTGCCCAGGCCCCCAACAAGGCCCTGGCCTCCATCCTGGGCAACAGCAACCTGCGCTTTGCGGGCATGAGCATCTCCGTCAACCTCTCCATCGACGGCCTCAACCTCTCCGTGCCG